TTTTTTGGATACGAAACAAGGCGTGGGAAGCAAGGCGGTGTGTTTGTTTGACTGTGTTTTCAGTTAGCATTCACGTCCAGTATGTGGTTTCATTCGGCCTGCTACTGGCATAGTTCATAGATTGATCCAAAACTTTCGCGACAAGACAGAATGTGTCCTACCTTCTTTCTCATGACCGAGGGCCATCGTTGTCCTCGTATGAAGACTAAGGCGTCAGTATGGAAAGCGAAACAATGAGGTGAGTTGTGGAAATTTCTTATTGTTCTTATCACAGCCCCTAGTTATATACTGAATTGCAGTAACTTAGATATCGCTAAAGCCGCAGTTATATACGCACTAACTCCTCGCCGGATAATGACAGGCCCGTTCGTTCTACAGTGGTGCCCTCTGTGTATGCGGAAACATAAATTTGCTCGTTCCTTGTATCGTTGCTTGGTTCTCTCCGTTGCCTCGTAATCACACCAACATAATCGCTCCTTAGTTAACTCACGGATCCTCATCTGCTCCATTGTCAGATTTCGGCTTTTTCATAGGCCAGATATCAATGCTCGCTGTTCTTGGCCTCTTGCCTGCATTCTCATCCACCTCCGCAAGACGATTGAGAACAGTAGCTAACCGCCGCCGGGCTGCCATTTCACGCCTGGTTCCGTCCGTGCCGGCCGGGCGGTAAAACTGTCTGACGACGCCTACAGCAGCGTGATAGCACTCGTACAGCAAGAGGCGAATGTCTGCATTCTCCGGGTCCTCGATCATGTCGTCGATAGGGGTGGGAGTCGACGTAGTGGGCGGTGGTAAGGATGATGTGTTGTCATCATCATCCAAGGCAGGAATGTTGGAATATCCGAAGCCACGGAGGAGCTCGGGAGACGGTGCTTCGTTGAAGGCGGCGGTCATCAAAGGGTCCCCGAAAATGCAATTACTCCAGTCCCGGAGACCTCTGACCGAAAACCCGGGGCTGCCCATGCTCTTTGAAGCGTTTTCTTTGGTCATTTCCTTGATTTCCCCCGTCTTTTCCGCCTTGCCCGTTACCTCACCCTCTTCTTTTCCTGGACGCCTCGGGACTGGCTTGTCCCCTTCTTGATCTCCAGGTTTTGTGGAACGTGACACTAGCACATTGGAATTGCTGCCAGCATCCAAGACGACGAGGCGCGCTTGCGTCACGGCATCGAGCAGATGACTGAGTCGGTGTACGTGGTGCCGTATCAGCGAATAGCTCATCATAACGGCAAGGTCCTCTCCATCTCTCAAAACCCCTTCAACCAGCGTTAGGAATGCATTCATCCAGGAATGAGCACCCCCTGGGCCAGCTGAGGATGCTTCTTCGGCGGCACCGGGGTCACTAGATGCCGTAGACGAGCTGATGACAGCAACCACTGGGCCGAACCTCGAATTTGGTGACTTGAAACTCGATATGCGGCGGAGGAGTTGCCCCTTCTGAAACTCGATTGATCTCCTTTCCGTCCCTGTAAGATGCTCTGCAAGGAAGGAAAGCGACGCCCCTCTAGTTGGTTCTAAGATGTTACAAGCCATAGTCAGCTCCGGACTTAGGGGCAAATGCGTAATAAATGCGGGTAGGTACTGAAGCATGAGTCCATCCGTATTTGTTGGTCGTTCCGAGTGTTCCGTGTGGGTTGGCGTGACTGAACTGTTTTTCGGGGGTTCATGGTCAATAAGATATTGGATCGACGTCCGCTTATCTTTCGAAGTATGTTCCAAAACTTTTCGATATATCCAGGGTATCACCAACGCCTCAGACAGCACGAGCCATTGCTCTGAACGCAGCAACCTCAGCATGGGGGACGGTGGCACAGTTAACAGGAGGGTCCTGCCATCGGAGAGCTTCAAGGAATAGTCTCTTTGTGGTCGGCTTGGGGGGAGTGGGTGTATGGACTCGACGAGTGCGTTAGGAACAGCCCGGTTGATAACCGCTCTGATGGACTCGAGAGATGGCGATGGATTCATCGAGCCAACCGGCGTCGGATAGGTGGCTCGTTGAACAGAGAATGCTTTAAGACGTGGGTGCCGAGACTTCGTGGAACATGACAGTCCTCCCACCCCGTCTGACAGATGAGCGGCTGCAGTGGTGGTCTCGGGAATGCGGAGCGACATATAGGGATAACGGGAAGGTGCATCAGGACCAGTTTCCACCCCCAGGCTCTGGTGGGTTACTTGCGGATGTGCCATTTATCCACACGTACGGAGCTCGACGGGTTGACAAAAGGGGAAGCTGCAATATATAGGCTTGGGTTTGGTGTGCAGAATAGCCCAGTTTGGAGTTTGCCTTGGTATAGACGCCTGCATATGTCTACTTAGAAGGGGTAGATATCTGGACTCGGGCCCGAGACAAGGGTCAGATTGTCAACCAACGGCAACTGCCGGGCTGCTGTTGGCCTCAAGAGACCAGACTACCGTTACTGAGGGGTTTGTTCCTTCGAACGGTGTAAGTTGTCGTGTCCAGAATTATCAGTTCAGCGTTGCAGTATATAGACCGGAAGCTGACATATCCGGACGCTGAAGCTGCCTCGAGGTCGGGTTTCCCACAGCAGGGGATAGGTGGCCCCTGGATGGGATTTATAACAATCTCCGGATGATATAAGCGAGCGGTCCAACATGTGTGTTTGAGCTGGCGAATGAAGGTGGGAGTGAATTGCACTTCGCAGCATGTCTGAGAGACAGAGGGCGGATAGATTTGTCCAGGGCAGCCCTAAGCACTTGGGTTCCACTCCCCGGCGGAAGAGGCGTAGCTAGATGACGAAGGACGACACGAATAGTAATCGCAGACGAGTGGGTTGGGAAGCAAATTAGTGGTTTGAAGATTAAACAGTTGCCTTGCCTAGGATTAGATTAGCTGGCACAGGCATTACAACAGCGAAAACCAGCTGCCAAGAACTAAGGGCGACTACACAGGATTTCGCAATGCGCTGGGCTCAGTCCTCGGGGTGTGAAATGAGTAAATCAGACAACCGGGATCCTCCCTTCTACAGGCACGACCAGCACACCCCAGGTCCAGGCTGGAGAATGCCAAGGTCCCAAGGGAATCGTTCCAGAAGCCTCAGTGGCGCTTTAGGCGAGAAAGTTGGCCTATAGAGAGCGGCAACACGCGAGCAGGCACGTTGGAAGAACGGCAGCAGCACTCGCGAAGGATTGACCCCATCGGGCCGTAGTAAGAGCATCGCAACCCAGGTCAGTAAGTTTTGGAACGTCAGACAACCACTACGACATGACGGTACCGAAAGACTGCTCCTACGGCAAGGGCAGGGCCAAGTATGACTGGCCTCGACAAGCGAGGCGCATAAATACAACCGTGTCTCATGACTCCAGCCAGGGAAGCGGTGTGGGTAGCTAGCGGTAACCACTAACGAACGTTCGTAGACCGTTGGGCAGCCCTGAGAAAGACACAAAGAGATAGGCACGGCGTAGGGGCAAGACGGAACAAAGAGGCGGCCCATGGACTGTCGGGGCGATCGAAATGAGCCCGGATTAGGTGAGCAGGTGGGATGGAGGTTTGTGGATTGAGACGGCCGGCGAAGATGATGTTGCATGGCGAAGCGAGACGGAACGGCGCTGATTGGCCAGAAACAAGCGAGACCGCCGAATCGGGCTGCACACCCCCAGCGCAGGAATTCTGGGCACGAGGGCGCCCCCAGACCAAGGCCTAGAGGCTCTGAGGCCCCGAGGCTCTAACCTTGTAGGCGGCACGGGGTGGCCCCCCCCCCCTGGCTGGGAGAAAGCCATTGCTGCAGGCAAAGGCGGCCCCACCAGCCCGCAGCGACCAGTTCCTGATTGCTGGGTCGCTGTCTGTCAGGAGAATTGCGAGGATGGGATGGGTGTTGCGGTAAATCGACGGCCAGACATTCCCATCCTGCGCCGCACATGCGCTTTCATATTTCGGGAGTGGGATCCTGAACCTAGATTCTCTGGGAATGTCCATGGGGGCCGTGCCATGCCACGCCGTGGCCAGTCAGGTCATTATAGAAGAATAGCTAGCTTCTGTGACGAGAGGCGCCCACACGAAGGGACCATGAATGCAAACGTAGTTGCGTATCCGTTATCTACCCAGGAACAAGGTACTATGTAACTCATCGGTTACAGCCCGTACACTTGGACGCTGTTCTGTTCGTCGCAGTGCGAGACACCGGCTGCCTCCCAGGAGCCACGACACATCTGTGCTCTTCTAGCCCGCTTGACCCTTCCGCTGTCAAGACTAGAGAGGGCTGCAAGCAGGGAAATAAAACCTGCTCTCGTGGACTCTTGCCCGTCAGCCTCAGGGCGCGAGCGCAATCGAGCCGATTTGATGACATGAAAGCCCGTTGTTGTGCTGGCCCCGACAGAAAGCCACATTGCTATAGTCGTCGTCACTAATGTTTGGTACCTTTGAAGCGAATACTTCGTCAAATTTATCGGAATAGGGCTTAGCGCCAGCGGTTTTGCAAGCCCTCCCCACGCTGACCGGGCGGGAAGTACCATACATAGCACATCCAGGACGGCACAACCTATTTTTCTTTTCTGAGTCACCACCTGCACCACGACACGCAGGTGCAGCTTCTTACTTGGCGTTGGCATCGTGAAGGGGGCATCATGGAGCAGACATAACAAAGAGCGTATATCAGGGCCTGTCGTGCCATACGGATCCCGGTCGAAACAATCGATGTCCGTTGCAGATCCTTCTTTATTCCTCCGATGCAGTCCCGCACGAGCCTCGAGCTACGGATCTGAATGGCCAAAATACGCTGGGCTGTCATTGTACATACAGTTACAGTGACCGCGTCCCACTCGATGCTCCATACTATGTACTCCGTGCTACGCGCTCCCTTCTGGGTTCCGGTGTATTGGGACGCCATACCTTGTCAGCCTGCCATCTTCCTCCTTGCTGAATAAATTCCGGGTCAATTATTTGAGATACGGAGCCTGCAGGAGCTCTCATCATCATGAGCCCATGAATGATGCAATCGTGACGAGAGAACAACCGAGCAAGAGACATTGCTACTGGTCCTTCTCATCCGCCTGTTCCCCCAGCTTCTCTTCAGTCTTCTCGCGGGGCTTCTCATCGGCCTTCTCGCCGGTATGCCCGTCGGCCTTGGCTCTCGCTTCCCTGGCCTGAGCTATAGCCGCGACGTACAGCTCGTTGAGGTTGTACCGCTTCATTGCGTCCCAGTCACCCTCGACGACGCTCATGCCGCAAAATGTCTATAGATGTCCGTCAGCTTGACTACGTAGCCCGTACGACCTAGACATATAGGGACGTACCTGAAAGAGCTCAACGATAATGACCTTGTCAGGGTTCGTAAGGTTGACCTTGTGTCGCGGGCCAATTAGGCTTGCAATCTGCTTGATAACATCGTCCCGCTTCAGGGAGTTGTGCGCTCTTGTTGTCAGACGAATTGCGTACTGTCGAGCATTGTTAGTACGTAGGATCCGGGCTGTAGAGAGCCCGTACGTGAAGTGCAAACATACCGTGGAGCCCGGATCCGACTCTTCATCCAGGGGTTGCTCGTCTACCCCTGCGAGCTGAAAGTGCTCCGCCAGAACGGTTCTGGCAACCTCCTCCACGCCCGTCCCAGTCGCCTTGCCCATCAGCGTGATGGGCGTGAGCCTGTTCAGGAATCTGGATTTCCTCTGGCCATGGCTCGAGGTGGATTGCGCATCCTCGACGATCCTTCGGACGAATGCCGTCGGCTCGACAGGGGGCTTGGTCTTCATAAAGAGCAAGCAGTCCATGCCGACACGCATGGGGGCAAAGACCGAGTCTGCATGTCGGGATTTGCCTGTGGGCTTCATCGCGTCGAGCTCCTTCTGGATGGAGGCTTCGATGTCGGCGTCCTCGGCATCGCTGTCCTCGCCGACCTCCTCGGGCTTGATGCCGTACAGCTTCTCTCCGTACTGCCCACCGGTGTCAGCGGACGCGTCAGCCAAGGGTTTCAGAACTCGCCGACCTCATCACAGATGGACATGAGCTCTCCGAGGGCCCTCTGCTCCTGTCCTCGTTGACAGCTGGCCCAGAACCCCACATCGCCGACCTCGAGCAGTCGTCCCTTGGCCCTCAGAGACTCCATCTTTGTCTTCTGATGCGGCGTCGTCCATTTGCCAGCACTTCCCCCCTGACAATATGACCACGTTAGCATTGGCGTCATTCCGTGCGTGGCACTGCGGTCGTGGCGACCTACCTTGCTCTTCTTGAAAGAAGCACCGTCGGCGCCATTGCTAGGCGGTGCTTTGCGTTTGCTTACCCCACCCATGGTACTGCGTTAATGCAGCAGTCAAGTTTGATGCCGCTTCGAAGGTGTCTGTTGATCGTTTTGCCGTGGGTAATACCTGTTCCAAGATGCTGTGCGTGCTGCAAAAGTATTATCAAATTTCGAGGTCACGTGGGGCTCTCGACCTCCAAATCGCAACGTCTCGAAGAAAGCTCGGTCTTTACTGCAAGTCGACTCTAGCCAGATGGACGGACGAGACATGCACCTGTTTCTGGGCCGTATCGAATGCTTCTCCAGCTTTCAGTCAACTCCAACTCTTGTGGCCGAACTTGCACTCAATCCTATAGAATCGCTACCGCCGTACTTGGGCTGCACAACTTGGCGGGGCTTTTATGTCGATCCTCTGTTTTTCTCCCCACAGCAACCTCGAAATTCGCCGGCGACGTCCGTTGTGTTACCCATGCCACACTGTAGGTCTAAATCATGCGCAGCATCGCTGCGAACGCACCTTCTGCTTTCTGATTTGATGCATGGCTGGAAGTCGAGGTCAGGTGACCTCAGCTTGATGCGGACTGGTTTGCTGCAATTTTAGCTGGCAAAAAGGACTGATTTGGCTGGCGAACGGCCGGTATAACAAGTTAACGAACCCAATGAATAGTCATGTGAGTCTCTATGAACTACGATGCGTATCTACATTATCCTGGAACGGATATAAGAACCAACACTTCGCACACCCCAAGCACTACATCCGTCTTGCTATTTATATGCTGCGCGGGCATCCCAAATGTATTCAAAGCATTCGCCCGACGGGGGAAAACGCCAGCCACCTCTATAAACCCATATGTCCATGTCCATGTCCAATATCATAAGTCCTAGCACTTCGTCTATCCTCTGAGCCATACTTGCTTTCATTCCTCGTTGGGTTCCTCGCCTTCTTCGTACACCTTGACTTTCTCCGCGTACTGGAGGATGTTACTGACGATGTTTGGCTGGATCGTGTCGCCCTTGCCTGCTGCGACCCGGAGAAGCAACTCGTTCAGGTTCTGCCTTCCCAAGATGTCCACATGGTCTGCTGTGTTGGGCCCACCTCTCGGATTGAATCGCTCGGGCTCGTGCGGCATCTCGTAGACAGTTACCTTGACGCCAGCGGGGTTGTACCGCTTCAAGTGCCAGCCCTTTGAACACATGTATCCAGTACTGAGCAAATTGACAGTCCCGTCACCCTCACCCATGATGACACCGTGATCGATATCATCGACGATGAGACCCGTATCGATGGTGATGTTGAGGTTCGTCAGAGGAGGGACGTCCGGCGGGCGATAGTAGTAGGCTCGTTCAGTTGGCTTTCCCACGCCATAGAAACAAAACACCTTGAGGGACGGTGCCAGTGGTAAGCGGGTTTCCAGCGGGTTGATCCACTTTCTTGGGTCATCCTCGTTGGCATTGACCTCAGCCGCCGTGTCGGCGACGCCGTGGGAGTAGCTGGACTTGATCATGTCCTGGTACCAATCCTCGGTGGTGTTCATGAGGTACTCCATAGAACCCTCCACGGTGAGATTTCTCTCCGGAATTGACCAATTCCCGCCCGCTCGGAAGTTGAGCAACGAGCCAAAGGAGTGCTTCTGGCCCGGAAGGTCGTCTGGCGCCCAGGTGAGGTTCCCCCACACGCGGTCGCCGCCGAGGGGCATCATGGACGAGATCCCGGGCATGGCGCGGAATATCTCGGCTCTTTCGTCCTTGTTGAGGAACTGGTCGAGGCCGTAAACGGCGAAGGCGTTCATCTGTGCCGTATCCCTCATCTCCCCAGACAAGATAGCCGTCAAGTCCTTCACAGCGCCGAGCATACAGCCACTGATGTTGATCCAGGCTTCAACATAGGTCTCGACCCAGTTGTCGCCACCCCCGCCACCCCTTGGCGAGGCAACCCAGTGGAGGAAGTAGAACAGGACCTGGCCTCCCATGGAATGTGAGGCCAGGACAACCTTCTTCCCGGAGAACTGGTGCGCCATCTCGATGTGGGTCTTGAGCCGAGTGAAATACTGATCGCGGGTTTCAAGATTCTGGTACGAGAGCCTCCAATCGTAAGCTGCCGTAAATGAGTTGGTGGGATCGTACCCGAGGGAGGCAAGATTCTCGAATATCTTGTTCCAGATCCAGTATCCAGTTATGAAGAAGTCGGCGGCATCGAAGCCCTGGGCGGCCCTCAGCTTGACGCCGGGGGGATCGAGCCCTGTTCTCTTATCCAGCATGATGTGCTTCTTCCAGCCCTCCTTGTCCATGACGAGGGCCTTCATCATGGTCCAGCTACCCCACAGCCTTTTTCTGAAGTAGGGACGGGAGATGTTCGCGGTGCCCCAGGACTCGAGACCGGTGGAGATAGTGCCGGGGATCATGATGATGGGGTGGTGGGCGGTCAGGCCCTCGGATCGAGCCTTGATGCCAACCGAGAAGGCGTCGTAGCTGTCGGCGAAGTCTCGCTCGCCTTTCTGCAGTTGATGGTCATGAGATGAGGCCGGAAGCGGAGAGAAAGAGACGGGCTCGCAGGACGTACCACAAGATCCCGCATATCCTTGACGAGCCCAGCAGGCAGCACATCCATGAAGCTGTCGACGCTGAGCTCCCCGATCTCGGGGAAATCTATCAGATCATTGCTCTTGGCCAGGAAGCCGGCGGCGATCAGGCCGAACAAGCTTCCCATGAGGAAGATGAAGGTGGTCCGCCTCTTCCGCGTCTTCTCCTTGAGCGTGACCTGACGCGAGACCTTGGCCTTCTGCTCGGATTTGGAGGGGCTCACGTCCCGGGAGGGAGCGGGCGACGGGGTTTCGGACGGGGCGTCTGCACCGACTGCTCGGCGTCGAAGTTCGGAGGCCATGGTGTCGCTGGGCTACATGCCAGGTCGGTGCGCCGGAGGAGCGGCCTGGTGGGCAGCGCAGCTGGGGAATGGCCTTGGCGGCTTGGTGACTTGGTGGCTCGGTGGCTCGGTGGAGGGAGGGTAGGCAGCACGAGCTTGGGTGGGATGGCGACAGATAGGGCACTCCCTCTTTCTCTCTTTCTCGCTTTCTCGCCTTCTCGCCTTGTCGCTTTGTCGCGGGCGCGCGCTCAGCCTCGTCACACAGACAGGTACGGGGACTCTTGAAGAGGCTTTGAGTTCTGACTGCTTCAGGTCCGGAGGATCTGCACATGCAAGGCGGGTGGCAGGTTGTTGGCGGCGCCGGGGGCCTGGATGGAAGCGCCGGAACTCTGAGCTTTTCGCGCACGCTGACGTCAAGGCGGTCAGGGCAGGGGGGGCCGCTTCTGGGACAGCTTGGCCGCTGTGCAGTCCTAGTCCCAGTCCCAGTCCCAGTCCCAGTCCCAGTCCCAGGCCAGGCCAGGAGCCCCGATGTCAGCCAACAGCAGTGCGGCAGGCTGCCCGGTCTGGATGCAGCATGGCGCGCCCGAAACCTCCCGCGGCACACGTGCTGCAGCGCACTGGCACAGGAGCCGCTGGCAGCGCTAACGGGACTTACTGTAGGTCGCTCACTGATAGGTACTTACAGTAAGTCACTGTGCATGGATGGATTGGGATAAGCCGCCAAAGAGGCCTGTGAGCCGTCGCTGCAGCCTCACTGTCAACTGTCAAGGGACACATTCGCCAGACGCCAGGAGAGCCGGCTGGTCTCACATGTGAAAGTGGGCTGGCTGACTCTGACTCTGACTCTGACTCTGACTCCCGCCCGTCCACCCGCCCGCCCGCGCATCTTGGATTTGCTTCCGAGATGGTGGGTACCAGCTCAGTACCTGCCCGGGTACGTTGTTTACGTTGGTAGTTACTGTACATGCCCTGTAAGTCGAGTTACTGGGCATTAACTAAGGCAATGCAGGCCAGTTGACAGCCAGGCCCACTTGTAGGGTGCCTTGGACGCGCGGGAGGCGGCCGTCTTCCAGCGTTAGATCGGCCATCTCGTCCGTACGCACATGGACCACACCACCACACACCGCATTCTTTTCCCAAGTCAGCGTACAACCTGGCGCTGCAGTCCTGCTGGTTCTTCCCCGCTTCTTGTATATGGTTAGAGAAGGAATACGATGATGATGATGATTTGTGTCTTATGAGTTTCTAATTCTGCTCAAAAGTCCTCACGTCCAAAGCTTTGCTTTTCCTCGCCCTCGGCCGCCGCCTCCGCCTCGGCCTCCGCTTCTGCCTCTCCCATGCAAACGCCCACATCTGCTCTCAGCTTCCCAAGACTGCTGTCGTCCCAGCTGTCCGACTACCCCGTTCTGCCATCGCACTCAGCATCATGACGGTGGAGCCGGTCGTTGCATTACCCGGCGAGCTGCGCTACATACAGTACCAACATGCTCTCGAAGACCAGTACCTCCCCGCCATCCGAGCCTTGATCTCCAAAGATCTCAGCGAGCCCTACAGCATATACGTCTACCGATACTTCCTGTACCAATGGGCTCACCTATGTTTTATGGTAATACCCTGCCCTCACCCTCACCCCCACCCTGCCGTCACGAGCGAGGGGCCAAGGATGCTAATAGCAACTCCCGGTGGCAGGCCCTCAACCCCCAGGACAACTCCCTCGTCGGCGTTGTCATCTGCAAGCTGGAACACCACGCATCGCACTCGCCGCCCACCTACCGAGGATACATTGCCATGCTAGCCGTGGCGTCGGCCCATCGCGGCCATGGCATTGCCACCGCGCTCGTCAAGAAGGCGATTGATACAATGGCCGAGAGGAACGCCGACGAGATCGTGCTCGAGACCGAGGAGTCCAACAAGCCGGCCATGCGCCTGTACGAGCGCCTGGGCTTTCTGAGGTCCAAGAAGCTACATCGCTACTATCTGAACGGCAACAGCGCCTACCGGCTCGTCTTGCTGCTCAAGTCGCAGATACCCCCTCTTCCCAGCGTGGATGCGAACCCCGACGGCCAGCGCCAGTCCGACTAGGAGTTGAGCAAGGCGGCATACCGTCCCTCAAGTTCGTACCCATACAGCTTGCAGCAAATACGCGACGCTCTATGGGAAATGGAAAAGGCGAAAGAAACGCCTACACCTTGGGCCAGACCCTTCCAAGCCCCACGGCGGACGTTAGGTTAGCCATCTTTGGGCGCGCGCAGCAGGGGCCGCCAGGACATCTCCCTGCCTCCCCCCGGAGCTACGTCTAGATGAAAGGGCGGCACGAAAGCTGACACTGGCTCCGTGCAAGAGACTTGACCAAGTTCGAAAAAACTCCTCTACGCAGGGCACAGGCTCGGTTACTGTCTAGGTTATGCGGCTACGATAGAATTTGCATATCGTTGGGGAGCGACGAACGCAGGAATGACGACGCCTACTTGTCTACACCTAGCCACGACATCGCCCATCAGTGCCACCGTCTCATGAACAGTTGCCGACCAAGGGCCAAGGGTTCACACACCATCAGGTCCTCCCTAGCAGCTCCTTTGTGTTGTATATGGAGGCCTTGAATCCCCATGGATTGCCAGAGCCAATTCCAAGATATGTGTAAGCGTCTGGGACCAGATCAGCACGAGATTGGCAAGAGCCAACCAGGCCACTTACCTGGCTTATAGTATAGGGGCTTCCCATAGGCCTTGACCAATCCCAACTGTTTCAGCTTGCGAGCCACTCTTTCCACATCGGACCTGTCGATAAAGTCGGTTGTGTAGACACAGATTAACCGCTCTGTGCGGGGATCTAGTTCTGACCTGGTCGCGACCTTGGCGGCAATGCCCAGCTCGTTATTGGCAGTAGCCTTGGCGACGATGCCCCAAACCTCGTTGACAGCGTGGACGTCACAGAATAGCATCCACTTCCCAGTCCTGACGTGCAATGCGTGAGCCAAGGCCAGGATATCTCGGGTGGCGTCCGCCGCCGCCTTGTTCCTCTCCCGGCCGCGGACGGCTGGCGAAACAGTGGATTTGTTCATCTCGCCGTGGAAGTCGGTGACGAGGTGGAGCCTTTCCATACCCCCCTCAATAAAGCGATGCAGGTCCGTCTCGTCCTCTTCAGGGGCTTCGTCCTCGCAACCTCGGACGTTCTGATTCTGTGCCTCCTGCTTGCTCCTCCGCTCAATAAACGGATTGCATATGAAGATCCATGGGCCAGCTTTAGAGCCTTCCGTCGTAGCTGGCGGGAGGCGGCCGAGGAAATCATCAACCGTCTCCGTCAACTGCCAGGCATAAGGGAAGCCAGCATAGGCGTTATGAAAATGAGAAGATTCAGGTCGTGTAATCTTCCTTGACTGGAGCTTCAGAGGGGTCGCGACCGACCCATGTCGCGCCCACCACTCGTCGGTATCGAAGGCCTCGACCTTGGACTCCAACTCTGCCACCATGGCATCATCTCCTGAAAAGGTTTGTAAGCTCATGCATGGCGTGAGGAATTGTCGTCGCGACGGGGTCCACACCGTAGAAATCAGACTCAACATCAGAATCCATGCTTCCTCCCGGCCACAGATATCTCCTCGAAAAAGATGAGACTGGACTTTTGCATTACCACATACATGAAGGCCTGTGTCGCGTGGGTCCTAGTGATGTAGTGCAAAGACCGACTCCAGACACCAGATCGTAGTAGAGGCAACGAAAGCTGCTTGGTTCGTAAATCAAGACGGAAATACGGTGGAATGACTTGGCCCGGACATGACCAATAACGTATCATCGAAGCCCGGGCGAGGTCTGCTGGGGGGGGGGGTGGGAGCAGGTCGAGAGAGGGAGGGGAAGGGGGACAACTCCCGAGAGTCTGATTGCTTTTTGCGAGAAATGAGTGCAGGCCAGTATGACGATATCGCCAGGATGTCACGGCCGCGAGTCCAACTCCCGACGTGCCCGAGCTTTCCTATGGGTTGACGGCTTTCAACGACCCCCAAGGATCATCAGGACAGCAACGACGCTAGAAGCCTTAGGATGGAAGCCAAGAACAGGGGTGCGATAGCGGGCACAGCGGGCATAGCGGGCAGGGCGGGGAGGTCTGGGAGGCTGCCGACCCGTCAGCCTGGGTCGTCAGGGTCGTCAGGGTCGTCAGGGTCGCCCAATGGCGGGCGCTAGTCACTCTTTACCATCTTTGGTACAGCTGGAGGCTTCGATTGTCTGACCTGGGCCTTCGAAAGTGTACAAAGTACCTACTGTACTTACCCGAGTACCTAATAAGTTCAAACCCCAAGGAAGCCCAAGGTAAGCTGCGTCTCAAAAGCTGCAGGCCCCTCCCTCAATACCCTCTTCAGCGGGATCCTCAAGGACTTGTTTGCACTCGATGCCGTGACGAGCGAGGTAATTCTTCATCTCTCCCTTTCCGGGGACCCCAGGTACCGACTGGTTACTGCATCCTAGCATGGTGGGGTCGAAACCTCGGGCAATTTTTCGAGCAGCATTCACTCTCCGGACAACACCATGATCTCATCGGCTACCCGGCCACCAGGAACGGAACAATGGAGCAGGCAACGAAAGTCAATTCCGAGTGGACACATTTCCTTGAGCTTCCCCCTAGCTGTATCGAGTTCTGCCCGGCTCACCCATCATATTTCGTCGTTGGCACATACAATCTCCAGAAGGACGAGGCAGATGCGGCCCGAGATGGCGCGGCCCAGGGCGAGCAGCCCACCAACCAGCCGCAGACTCGCACCGGAAGTCTCGTAGTATTCCGCCTTGAAGGGAGCACAGCGTGAGTCAGTTCCATTGGCGGCACCTGGAGAGACGACGCTCAGACTTCTGTGTTCTAGACGACATGTGCAGACGCTGATACACCCGTCCGCTATATTGGATCTCCACTTCCATCCTCACCGGCCAGACATCCTGGCTGTCGTCAACAGCACAGGCACCCTCTCACTTCTCCAGTTGGCGCCGCCGACAAGCGGTGGCGGCAATCTCTTGACGGAGCTTGCTGTCAACTCGCCGTTGCCTGGCGCCGGTGGGATTATCTTCACCTCGTGTTGCTGGCACCCCAAGTCAGACAACTCGATTGCCATCACGACCTCTACCAACGAGGTGCACCTGTTCGAGTTGAACGGCAGCTGGCATATAACGGAGACTGAAGACAGCACGATCCACAACCACGAAGACTACGCGTGGACGGTAGCATTCTCGCCCGACGACACTTGTCCAGCGGTGCTGTCGGGGGGTGACGATTCCAGACTCCTGTTTACCAACACAGACGACGGCTCTACAGAAGTACTCAAAGGACACCAGTCAGGTGTAACCGCGCTGCTGCCCCTGCAACATAGACCGGGCTCGCCGGATTATATCTTATTGACAGGGAGCTACGATGAACACATTCGAGTGTACTCGATGGCTGGACTACCTATGCTTTTGGCCAAAGCGAACTTGGGCGGAGGAGTGTGGAGGTTGAAGCAGATAAGTTTCACCATTGACGGAGACCGATGGGTCGCTGTGATTCTGGCATCGTGCATGCATGCGGGCGCCAGAATCCTGAGACTATCTGGCGACGACGAGGGCTGTAAGATTGATATCCTGGCACGCTTCGAAGAACACACCAGTATGAACTACGGGAGTGACTTCCATCCCGTAGATGGCGACCGTCAGGACCTCGTGTGCGTGTCTACAAGCTTCTACGACAAGCGGATGTGCATTTGGAAGTTTGCTGTAGAGTAAGGTAGTCTGTAGCCCTCAAAGATGTCACAAGAGCCGTTCGAGAAACGATGAGACGAGGGTGCGTTGAGTGCCTAACTTACGGGTCTAGAACCCAGTGTGTATGAGAAAGAACCTTGGCGATTAGAAGCGAGACAAAACAAGTCAACCACGTGAGCTACAACAAACGGTGTCCTCGCATCGTTCAACCCAAGATTTTTTTTTTTCCTATCTTTTTGGGTAGTTGACCCGCGTGAATGTGTATGTATATATATATATATAGGACTGGAAAATTGATATTCCAGGCTGAAAATTGGCAGCGGCAAACGCAGTGAAGTCTTTCTCGTCTTCGTAGGCAAGTAACAAGTGGCTGTTGGGATGGCCTTCACTATAGTAATAATATCCGAGTCACCCACGTGGACTTGTCTCGAGACGCAAGGATGCGGGCCTTGCTTGTGTCGCCACCAGCCATTCGTAGGAACCTCGCTACCCAATTCGACTTGGGTATATAAGTTCCCGCCATACCTAGATCCTTACGGGCACCCTGGCCTCCGCTACCTTCCTACTACGTAGGTAGTAGTAGTAGTACATGTCGGCGAGTGATAGGGCTGCCTAGGAATCTTCCATAAACGTTCCAAGACCACCTGGCAGGGTCTTGATAAGGTTCTTAGTGGATGTTAGGCATCGACGGATCAATGGCGGACCGCTAGAACCCCTGTGACCCAGGTGCTGGGGGGAGGCCCCGGGGAGCCCTGAGGGGTGCCACAGACTTGACAGAGGCCCGCCGATTCGCCTGTGCTGTGGGTGTGTGGTGCCTTGCGGTTGCATAGAGCAGGCAAGCAAGCGATTGGGTTGGGCGCGGGCTTTACTTTTTTCGGTCGAGGTAACTAAACTAACCTGCCTATCATCCATCCAAATCCATCAGCTCGGCTTTCCTCAGGGCTGGCCAAACCGACCCAACACCCATCATCAACCCTTGGAATCGCGGCGGGTACGGTTGCACAGCACGAGCTCACCGAGGCATCAACACGGCCGTCTCCCCAAGATTTCCTTACTTCTTCTTCCGCCCTTCTGCAACCCACCACCGCAAGCACACCTGTCGCCCGCCAGATGACTCACTTCTAAGACAAACCTGGTGCTTTGGTGGATCGTCGTTCCCGCCCCGTCCCGTCCCTCTCACCCCTCCACCGAGACCATCGCCAGACGAGCCGAGCTGTGGGCGCCGCAGCGCGTTTTGGACAGCTACCTGCTGCCGGCCTCTCCCAACCGGACACAAGTTCCTGCGCAGCCAGCTCGCCCTGCCACCTTCACGGCCCGACACCCGTGAGCCATGGCGAACCCGGCCAACGCAAACGGGGACATGTCCAACGGCATGGCCGTCCTGCCCAGGATCCACGAGGCCCTCGAGCTCATCCACAACCCGCACTCCGCGAACCAGACCCGCCAAGAAGCCCAGCAGTTCCTGGAGGAGGTCAAGAACCTCGACGAAGCTCCCTCGCATGGCTACACGCTCGCCTCGGACAAGGGCCAGTCCCCCGTCGTCCGCCACTACGCCCTGTCGTTGCTCGAGCACGCTATCAAACACAAGTGGTCCAAGTACTCGGAAGACCAAGCAGCAACTCTGCGCCAGTGGGTCATGAGCCTTGCGCGGGACATCGCCAGGGAAGACCCGTCCTATATACGGAACAAGATTGCTCAGCTATGGGTGGAGGTGGCCAAGCGCTGTTGGGCCGGTTCGTGGATGGACATGGACTCCCTGCTTGTCCAGCTATGGCAGGTACCCGAGTCGGCCGTCCACAAGGAGCTGGTGCTGCTCATTCTCGAGACCCTGTCGGACGAGATCTTCAGCTCAGACGACCCCGCCGTCGCCGAGCGAGAAGGGCTCCTTAGCAAGGCGTCAGTCGAGATATTCACGCCTTCCGCGGTTCTGCGCGAGACCTTCCCCAACCGGGAAGCAGGGCCTGATGTCAGGTGCGGCGACGAGGGTTGGCTGACGAGGATCACCGGCTTCTTGGGCCAGTGCCTGTCCGGCGACCTGCAGAACAACGAGGAGCTGCGGAACTGTGCTGTTCGTGCCTTTGCCGTCTTGTTCTCGCTCATGCCCTGGGTCATCCCCAATGCCGCCACCGCGACTGGCTGTGTACCAGCCATTTGCCAAGGCCTTCGGGCCTCGCATATCTCGGTGCAGAAGGTAGGAGAGTGCCCAACAGGAGGTCGAGCGACTGTCTAACCGGCTTATAGGGTGCCCTGGAAGCTATGCACGCCCTTTACTCCCGCACTAGCTTGGTCGACCAAGAATTTCTCGATCTCGTCGTGCCCCTATACAACAGCCAATGCATCGAGCTGCTGACGCAGTTGTTCGAATGGTCAACCGTCGACGCAGAGGACATCGACGACGACAAGTATCAAGTTGGCAAGAAGCTTTCGGAGGTCATCTCGTTTCTCGGCAACTATCTGGACCGACGTTTTGCTGTCCTGCCCAAAGATCCCGAGCGTGTGGACTTCCAAGGGTTCCTGCGATTGCTCCTGCTCGTGGCCCAAAGCCAGAGCATGATAGTGTCTATCCCGGTGCTCGTCACCTGGGCCCGATTGCTGGGGCACAGGTCCTTGGGCCGTAACATTGCTGAGCTCCCGACATTTGTCGGCCCACTCCTGGAACTCTGTGGCTCGAGGTTGGTCCGGTACGAGAGCCTACCAGAGGACACACAGGATCCAACCTTCCTCTTTCTCTTGGAAGACACCGATACCATCCCTGAGCGCCACGCATTTCTTGGCAATTATAGACGATATGCATCTAGCGTTATTGAACATATAGTCCAGCTGAAGCTCGCCGATGCCGTCTCGCATATCTTGAGTCAGACGGAGAATATCCTGCAACACCTCTATGATGGCCAACCCCCCTTTGACCCGACAAACTACTCAAAGAGCTCAGCATCGGTGCTGCGAATCGACGCACAGGCCACAGTCATTGAAGCAGCGCTCCGCGGATGCATGAAATGGCGAGGCAAAACGGAAGCCGATGAGCAAAGCATCACAGCACTGGAGGAGACTCTGGAGCAGTGGGCAAATCGCGTTCTTGCCATGTCCTTCGAAGTGAGTTTCCAATGCCACTGTGCCACTGTTGGGCTGCAAATCTGACTCTTCTAGGATCCCTCCATCCGCAGGCGCATTCTCCAGCTCCTAGTGGCATTCTCCACGACAGCTCTTGATAGGAAGCCGGGCTTCATGCTCAAGGTCCTAGAGCATATCCTAGTGACATGGCCTGCCCCGCAGCCAGAGTATCGTCAGTTTAACGATGCGATTAAGGATTTGCAGACAGAGAGCATGGTCGAGCTTTCGAGACTGGCGGCAAAGATGCCTGATCATCTCTTGGTGAGTCTGGATCTGCACCAGGGAGGTTGTGGTTGAAATGTCTAACACAGCTCACAGGACGTCTACGACCAGATCTCTGCCAAGGTCAATGATATGATTGCTTCGGGGACGATGGATGAGAAACGTCAGATAACTTATCAGACGTTCCTCTTCACCATCATGTAAGTTCTCCTATATAGATGAGGACGTTGCTCTTACTAACAGGAGCAGCCACCGATGCAGTCGACTGGATAAAGCCACAAAGGTTCAGAAGCTCCAGGAATTTATGGAGCCAATCCGCACGCAATGGCGCAACGAGAACATGAAAGGTGCCCTAGCATCGTATGGTGGGTTCTGCGAGATGCTTGCTCTCGATAAGGTCCAGAACTACCTTGCCAGGAAAAGAGTGCACGAGGTCAAAGACTGGGGTGCGATGCCCCTCGACGACGAGGGCAAAGCTCTTCAGAACGAGCTTGAGGAGCGACAAGCCGTAAGTCCCAGAGCAACGCAGCGTACTTGTGGTTCTTACTCACAATGGCAGGCACTCCCCCTCCGGCCTACCAAGTCTGTCTTGACAGCATCCGTGGAGAAGATCGACAAGAACACGGTTCCGTATGCTACTGCTTGTGACATCTGGTCCGACGCATTCCCCCTGATTCTTCCGGATCTGCTCAAATTCTTAGAGTAAGTCACCGTCGATCAAAGGTTGTGTGTAATCACTGCTGACGAGCACACAGCCATGCACATGCCTCGTCAACGCCAGATAACTGGGCTGGCCTACCTCCGGAGATGAGATCTACAGTAGTAGGTCGCGTTCTCACCGATCGGTTTTGGCAGGCTGGTATCTCAGAGGGATCCAAGGACGAGTTCTACGCCCGAGTCCTCGACAAAAAGCACACTATGGAGGGGCTTGGCTCCACCATTCGAGGCACTATCCGCTTCGTCAGGGAATCAGTATATGCAATTCTGTACTGCATGAGCCGCTTGGACATGCAATTCTACGGCTTTGGCGAATTGCCAGGTCCCCTAGCCCACTCGCTCCTGGCAAATTCATACTCACTATCTCCCCATCAACAGATTAACCTACTCAATCTGGTCCGGTTCCTAGTGGACAATTGCCCCACCGAGCTTCGAGACCATTTCCTTCCGCCACTCATGGCAGCCTGTTTCCAGCAAATGGACGCCAAGATCACCTCGGAATGGGAAAAGCTGGAGAATCAAAAGGCGATCCAGGCCGACCGAGACGACCTCGGAGAGGAGATGAAATCGGAAAGCATCCTGAGACAACTCTCGTATACGGGTGTGATGATGGTGGCTGATTTCCTAGATCCTGCTAGGATGAGTAAGTTGAAGACTCCCACCTTGCAGATGACCGAAAACAGCGCAGCTAAGATGTGGCCAGACCTGCCGCTGTCCAAACCCGACGGTATATCGAAAAAATATGCCACACTCCGCAAATTCTGCCTGATGCAGTCGGAGATTGTGGAACCGCTACTCATGTTCTGCACACACGTCATCCGGATCCGCGACACGAGATGCTGTAGCGTCATGCTGCGGGTTTTCCGCTCCATCGTCCCCGAGTTCCGGACTGTCGAGGGAATGGAGGTCAAGACGGAAAGCGACAAGAACAACAACGTTGATACCTCGCCCATCCCAGCCGCGACGGCATCCGTCATCCGTGAGTACTTCTCGACCGACGTCTTGAAGGCATGCATACAGTCCATCAACGAACCCTACTTCGTCGAGCTGCAGAAGGAACTCGGTTCCCTGATTGCCACGATTATTGCCTACTACAGCTCGCTCACACCAACACCGAGGAACATGATCCTATCTGTCCCGAATCTTAAGCAGGAGTCGGTGGACGATGCCATTGGTAAGATCACCAACACGGGGAACTCGAAGCTGCAACGCAACTACGTCCTTGAGCTCTTCAGGGAACTGAAAGGCGTAAGCATCTCCGAGATGGGCAAGCTGAGCACGAGCATTGGGGGTCTGTCGTCATCGAGGAAGTCTGGCAAGAAGGGGTCCCGCAGCCAGATGGCACAGGAGTTCATGACAGCCCCGCAACCCAAGTCTGGCAACGACAAGGCCGATCAGGGGGCCGAGCTCGACGGAGTGGCTGGCCTGTTCCAGCAGTAGTATCTGATGGACGATGGACGCGAGCCATCTCCGGACTACAACGACCCGATGGGATTCCTCGAGAAGCAAGACGAATACATGCTGCAAAAAGCCGAAGGGCGGCGGCAGAGTTGCTGATGGCGTTTACACGGCCGAGAGATTGCGGGAAAATGGCACACGGACGGACGGTTTTGATTCCCCCACACCCGGCAAGAGCAGAAAATTTTTCATGTTTCCTTGCATTGGACGACACATGCTAGCGATATTGCATAATGGTACCTTTTGTAGATATAGTCTGTACCATAGCGAACATAGCGGGAGGCGGCGACCTTGCGACGCAGATGGGGAAAGGCCGGCCGGCTGGCCATGATTTTCTAGACCCGAACGGCGACGGAAGAAAGGTCGTATGGCCAGGCCGCGCGCGATAGATTTAGAGAGAACTGGCAAGCCGCACCACACACGCATCACGGAGCAGCGAAATCCATGGTTTTCCCGATCTCTGTTGGTCTCCGTTCACTTGAGAAGTGGAGGTAGAGACGACTGCAGTTTTGACCTGTGACCGAAGTACCCAGATGTGACATGCGCAACTTGGCTGCCTACCTAACGCGGGTATACTATATCCCAAAGTATTATTTTCGCACTATAATACTGCCTATAGTTGTACTATAGCTATTGGCGAGAAAGCCGTGGCAGATTAACGTGGGGCGGAACTGGAGCGCACTTCAAGCATGGACAGCCCCGCCACTTTCCAGGTGTCCGGTTTCGTGCGGCAGGATCCGAGTGTCCAAGAATGCGTGTCCCGCAGTCCACGCGCTTGGCAAGCCCGCAAGTAAGGCGTTACCTATCCGTTCCAGAATCGCTACCACAAACCCGCACACGGCACACGGCACACGGCACACGAGACGCTTGGAGCAGACATCTGGGCTGGCTGGATCTGCATGCTCCTTCGACAGTCTCTCCTCGTGGTCGCCCCTTTGTGCCCTGCGCTCGCCCCGCTGTCAGTCCCCGAACCGCAACAGTCACCAGATGGTCGTGATGAGCCCCCGAGGGATCTGGCACCTGAACACCCTGTGACCTGCTCATCATCGCCAACATGGCCGATCCGGACACGTCCTATACCATAGAGACGGAGCAGCAACTATGGGACGGTACGCATGACATCCTTACAATCCTGCATTCTCCAGACCCCTTCTCGGAAGAGAACACGCCGGACTGACGCGCGCGCTGGAGTTTAACAGAACTCGAGAGAGTTGTTGCGACGCAGTGCCCCGGCCACGCCCACGAGACCATCGATGATGCGCTGCGAACATGGCTGCACCTCGCCGCCAAGTGTCGCGACGAGTTCTCGCAGTCCGAGGACGACGTCGCGGCCTGCTCCCAGCGGCTGATTGGGGGCAGCCTGTTCAATGCGAACAGAGACTACGTGCGCACCCAGATCATCTACAGCTTGATGGAGGAGGACGAGGCAGGGCCCCTCTACGTCATCGCAACCTTCCTCCTGCTCGACGGCCGCCACGAGGACTCGGCCTATCGCAGCATGATCGACGCCGGCTGCTTCCACCGTCTGCTGGAGCTCATCAACGGCAACAACGAGAGCGATCCGAGCCTGCACCGGCTGCTGCTCCAGCTCATGTACGAGATGTCCCGCATCGAGAAACTGCGCAGCGACGATCTCTTGCACGTCGACGACGGCTTCGTGACCTATCTCTTCCAGCTGATCGAGGGTCTCGCCGACGACGTCCACGATCCGTACCACTACCCCATCATCCGTGTTCTGTTGGTTCTGAACGAACAATACATGGTCGCCTCCACCGAGGCCATCACTGACGCCAGCTCCCCCATGGCATCCATCACGAACCGTGTCGTCAAGTGCCTCTCTCTCTACGGGCCCATGTACCGCACCTTTGGCGAGAATCTCATCCTTCTCCTCAACCGCGAGACCGAGACGTCTCTGCAGCTTCTTATCCTCAAGCTACTCTACCTGCTGTTCACCACCAAGGCCACGTACGAGTACTTCTACACCAACGATCTGCGCGTGCTCCTTGATGTCATAATACGTAATTTGCTTGATCTGCCCAATGAGTACCTGTCGCTGCGTCACACCTACCTCCGGGTCCTGTACCCTTTGCTGGCGCATACGCAGCTCAGCCAACCACCACACTACAAGAGGGACGAAATCATCAAGGTCCTCAACATTCTCGCCGGAACGGGCAACTTCCACTTCGCACCGCCGGACGAGACAACGGCAAGGCTAGTAGACCGGGTGTCCAAGGTGAAATGGCTGGCCGAAGCAGGGGCCGGCGCCGGAGAGATCGCGCGGAAGTTCTTGGGCATCAGCCTGGAGTCGAGTGATTCCGCCAGCAAGATTAGTGTCGTTGACGTGGCGGCCGTGACGGAGAAGCCCGGGGTCAAAACACCCAGCCGCAAGGCCGAGTTCGACACGGCCGAGGTCTCGTCTCCCGAGACCGACGCCAAATCCATCGGGGACGAAACGAAGGGGGCCCCATCCAGGCGGCCGAAGAAGCCGTTGCCCGAGGTGCCCAGGCACAGGCATGGTGTCCCTGTTCCCGTTGCACGCAACGGGAATGGCAGTCCGCTTCCGGAGAAGAAGCTGCCGCCGAAGGCTCCGCCCCCAAGACGGAAGAACAGGGTACAGGCGGCGGAAGCAGCACCGGCTCCCGCATCCTAGAAAGAGGTAGGTTCCGTCCGGACGCTCCGAGGGTTTGGGCAAAAATTGCTGTTGAAGTGCCGGAGGGGAAAGAGAGCCCGCCGAGGATGCTCAGGCGAGGCGAGTCCCCCATGAGGTGACCAACGGGGCTTGGTTATTTCACATGGTGAAACAGACAAAGGCGTCCTGCAGACTGCATTGGGAATTATGGCGTACCGGCAATTTTGTAGCGGCAAGACATCAGGGACACGGCACTCATTCATGGCAAGGCGTAACGGAGTTGGGGAATGGTTGCGACTCGCATTTTCGTCTATGATAGGGGGAGGGGGGATGGCTGCTAAATCGGCCTGCGGCGCGGCTTCGTCTGGCTTGAGTTATCAGCATGCCGAGGGCATTACAGCTACTATTGGTATTGCGGTAGTCAACAACGAGTAGATGGTGCGCAGTCCTGAAAGTATATTGTTTCCCCCATGTCACTGAACCGTGGTACAGCCTCACCTTGGAGAAGGGTCTGTCGCATTCTAGGCACTTCAGCGTGGATGTGCATTGTTCTCACCTGCTCAGGTATCTAGTTATGTACCTTGGTAGGGTTTGATAAGAAAAACTGGGATGCCATCACTCGTGGTCCTGTATGAGTATGGTATGGCATGGTAGCCGCCAGTTGACTGGAGAATGAATACTCTACACTCTGGGACAATAGCCAGTTCCTCGGAATATATGACCTCGATCGTGAGAAAGGGGGGCTAGAATGCCGATCACATGCAATTGGGATATAGCGATACATGGAAGGCACTCAAGAGTTGGAGATCATGCAAACGTACTAGAAAACCGGACACATCCACGTCTAGTTCATCTACCTTTAACCACTAATCTTGCACCTCCCATATTTTTATACTTAATATTTTCAAGTATAATGTCACGTAATTTTTTGTAATAACCTTCATTTGAAACATTTATATCTACTCCAAATCTGGTTGCAGCTTGTGGTGTGGCGTATGGCTGATTTCGCAGTGTCCAGTTTTCTAGTACGTCTGTGGGGGAGAACTGGTACACTAGAGGTCTTTTTGACCCCGAATCGCGCAGCTTCTTGCTATATTAGTTAGACGGCAGATAGAACCGGCCTTGCCGCCTCCTTGGACGATCAGCACAGAATCGCCAACGTTGGAGGTGAAACCCCAAGATGATGGTCCTGGCTCCAGTCGTACCGGCGAGACCCGGCAACCGGCAGTTGTAGCTCCAGACTGTTCGGGGGACGTTGCCAGGATTGCACGGGCAGGCCGAAGGGCTCACCAAGAAAGCGGACGGAAACTGATTGTGATCGCCAGGGCCCTGGGCCGGCTGGCCATGAGCCGTCGGCTTAGCTGCAGCTCGGGTGCAGGAGTTGGGGCAGCCAGTGACAGCAGTAGGAGATAGACTTTGGGAATTGGGGATCCCTACTTGCCAACCTGAGCCCGCTAGCAACGGGAGTCAATATGCAATACTCCCCATCCACTAAATAGGTAAGTTACGTAGTTAGGAGAGGACCCTGGCGGGACTCTTTAGTGACGACGAGGGACTGGTAGTGTCTATTGGAGGTAGAGGCGTTCGGCTTTGACTGTGCCGTGCAAAGGTCGTGTCATCCAGACTCTTGCCAATTATGAAAGGCAGACGATTGGTCTCTGCCGGCAAACTGGCCCCCAAGAATCCATTGGATGCAGCTAGCCCATGTCGAACGATGGTAATCAGGGTCCTCACAGCCTTTGGGCACGAGGTTTTTTTTTTTTTTTTGGGTTTGGAGGGGGGGCTTTCGACGACGGAGCAGACTGACGTCATGGTAGCTCCGGAAAACAAAGAGAACAGAAAAAGCCCCCAGACGCCATGGCAGATAGCATAGCACCCCGCCAACCCGCCGCCCGCTGATAGGCCGCGTTGGTGCGTCGGGCTGCCAAGATTCAGGGCACCCTTGTCCGAAGTTTGCTGAAAACGGACTACGAGCAACAAGCCAACAGGCTGGCTGGCCACTGAATGCTGGCCCACGGCAGTGGAGTGGAGGGGGGATGGTGGGACCTGGATGCGCTGGGCGAACTGCTGCGGAGCGAGATTGCAACACTGGAGTGGACGGTGGCAGGCCTGACAGGACCTTGACCAAGCTGAGGCGACGAGACGACGACATCATCCCTCCTGCGCCGGGATGCAAGGCCATTTGCAGGACTCCCAATTGCCAAGAAGAAGAACCCCCCCAGGACCCGAGACGCCAGCCTGGAGCCTGTGATACAACAACCAGCTGGATGGTTTTCTTCTTGTCGCTTGTCGAACCCATTTTTCTCGCACTATCCCCTACCGATATTCACTCAAGTATCTCAGGATACCCGTCCACGCTTGATAGTGACTTTTTACCATCTTTTTTTGAATTTCCTCCGATACCCCCTAGAGCACGTTCTTGAGTCGCCGACACGGGACGTGACTGTCTTCCCCCATTGCCCCCGAGCATCTAAGAGTGGTCGCAACTCTACAGCTGATCAACAGGCTCAATCCGTTGCGCGCGATTCGGGTTGGGCGCGCAGAAAGAGTACTCTGACGGATACCTTGGTTTGGGTTGAGACCGCAGACAAGCCGAGATCTCTCTTGACTACGTCGGCTTTTCCGCACCATTCACACACAGGCCCAGTACCCATACGACTTACCATACATAGTACAACATACCATATCATACCGACATCTCGCATTATCACAGTGGAAGAGAGAGGGATCTATCCCCATCTCGAACTCTATTCCCAACACTTGCACGGGGTGTCTGTGTCGGCTTTTCCAAGTTCAGTACAGCCAGAAACGTGCCCGACTACGCTACGTTACGTACGAGCAGTCGAGTCCAAAACCCACGGCGACCTACCTGGACTTTGGGTAGGTAGCCAGATCCAGTTAGATGGCCAGCACCAGTAACTGACGACATGGTAGGTAACACTACCTTAGTTAGTACAGCAGCAGCACTAGGTATTCAGATCAGAGGTGCGGCCACACGCCCGACCTTGCCGATCGACCGCCCGCCGCCTCCAACGCAACCAGTCTAAGACGGACCGGCCCCATCGAATTGGAACATCCGCGCGCCAGCGCTGGTCTTGGATGGGCAGCTAAGCCTATGCGATTGCGTCAACACGTCATCTCTCTCTCCCTCTCTCTCTCTCGCGCGCGCTGTATCTCCGTCTCTTCCCACGCCCGCGACGACCATGGCCGCCCGATCCCCGCTGCCGCACCACCCGTCTAATAACCACCGGCCCTCCTCCCTCGAGCGCACTGCCTCCAATCCCACCGCCGCCTCCAACCCAAACAACCCAAACAACCCGTCCGCCGGCTACTTCCAGTATCACCAGCCCAACGTCAACCAGCCCCCACCCCAGAGGACCGCTGCCGTCGACCAGGAGACGCTGTCCAACACCCTCGCCAACTCCCAGCTCGCATCCCCCGCCAACGAGGCCATCCAGCCGCCCGCCCGCCCGCCAAAGTTCACCGAGGAGTGGGATGCCAGCGTGAGAGGAAGCTCCATCATCGACTACCCGGCCTCTCATCGCCCCGCCATGCAGCGCTCCAGCTCCATATCCTCGCGGCCCGAGGTCCTCACCACCGCCGCCGGCACCACCAACAACAACAGCACCATCACCACTGGCGATGGCGTGCCCACCGCCGGCGGCATCTCCCTCTCCAGGGGCAATACCCTCAAGAAGAAGGGCTCCCTGCGCCGGAGCGGCAGCAGGACGGGCAGCCTCCGGAGGAGCAGCAGTCGCCGCAGCATGAAGGCCGGCAGTGTCCGGAGTCTGGCCCTGCAGAGCACCCACGACCCGGAGGAGACCCAGAGCGTCTTCTACTGCCCCGTGCCCACCTCGGGGAACCCCTGCGAGGTCCTGTCCAACCGCTTCCAGCTCTGGCGCAAGATCCTGAAGGATCTCATCACCTGCTTCAGGGAGATCCAGTCGCACTACGAGCACCGCAGCAAGTCTCTGCTGAAGCTGGCCAACGTCCTGAACAACACCACCACCCCGCCGGGCTTCCTGGCCTCCGGTGGGCTCGACGACGCGCTCCAGATCCTGCGGAGCCACAACAAGGCAGCCGTTCTCGAGGCCAACAAGGCTCGCGAGATCGAGGAGGATGTCATATTGGCGCTGACGGGGCTGCGCAGCGATCTTGGCCAGAAGATGAAGGAGATCAAGAGCTTGTCCGGTGACTTCAAGAACTCGGTGGACAAGGAGATCGACACCACGCGGAAAGCCGTCAATGCGCTCCAGGAGATCCTGGGCCAGTCCGAGCTGGACTCGTCTCTGACGACGGGAAAGCAGGACCCCTACCTGTTGAGGCTGGCCGTCGATCGCCAGGTCGAGCGCCAGATCGACGAGGAGAACTACCTCCACCAAGCCTACCTGAACCTCGAGTCCTCGGGGCGCGAGCTAGAGGCCATTGTCGTCGGTGAGATCCAGAAGTCATATAACGCATACGCTGGCATCCTGAAGCGGGAATCCGACGCGGCTTACAACACGATTGACGAGCTCCGCGCGGGCCCCATCGCAATGCCCAAGGACCACGAGTGGATTGCCTTCGTGCAGCGGGATACTCAGTTTGTCGATCCCGAGATTCCCATCCGCGCGGCCGAATACCTTCACTACCCTGGCCGAGATCACTACGCCTGCCAGGAGATCAGGGCAGGCTTGCTGGAGCGCAAGAGCAAGTACCTGAAGAGCTACACAGCAGGATGGTATGGTATCACGCGTGTTGCATTTGATCGAGCCATGACTAACAGGCAGTACAGGTATGTCCTTTCGCCGACTCACCTGCACGAATTCAAGAGCGCAGACAAGACTGGCTCCCCCGTCATGTCTCTTTACCTCCCAGAGCAGAAGGTGGGGTCGCACTCCACCGAAGGCGGCTCTTCGAACAAGTTTATCCTCAAGGGCAGACAGACCGGTTCCATGCACCGTGGACACACCTGGGTCTTCCGCGCCGAGAGCCACGACACGATGATGGCCTGGTACGAAGATATCAAGGCATTGACAGAGAAGTCGCCCGAGGAGCGCAGCAACTTCGTGCGCGGCCACGCCCGGACCTTGTCCCGTTCTTCGCAGCGCTCCATCTCCAGCGATGGCATGGTGGATGACGAAGACGACGAGCCCTTCGTCTCGCAGGAGCGCGCCTCCGCCGTTGTTTCCACACCAGGGTCCCGGCACGAGTCTGTTGCCCGCCCCCAGCCTGGCGGTCGATTCCCGTCCGATCTCCAGGTCAACGCCCAGCGCGGCTTGGAGGTGCCTCTCTCCCCCAGCAGCCAGAGCTCTGGTTTTTTAGACAACAGTGAGTATGCCATGCGAGGTGGGATAGCAAACGGTAACACAGTAAGCGACTACGAGGCAATAGCGGCCGCAGGTGCGTTGCCCGGTAGTGGTGTGGGCGAGCCGTACCAGGAGCACCTCGGCTTGCAACCGGTTGGTCAAAAGTATGGCAATACCCCGAGCGTCAACATGGATACCGCACCCAGCTACGCGACCATGATCCACCATGAGGCCGCACAAGATGGCGTCAACCCCTACAGCGGGGAACCTGTCAACGTTCAGCGAAGCCAGTCACACCGATTCTCGAACGCTCCCATTGTGGTGGCAGGTCCCGCTCACGTCGGTGAGACTCAGACTAGAGATCTGAGTCAAGATTCAGGTAATGCCAGCTCCTACCAGGCCGTGAATGGCCAGCCCTCGTATGCGGCCGGCGTCACCGCGGTGGATTACGCCGTCCCCAAGAGGGAGTATCCGCAGACGGCCAATGGTCATGGGAACGGATATGCAAAACACGGTGATGGAGTGGCATATACGCAAAATGGTCGTGCTCGTCCAACGGGTTCCCGAATGGACAGCACACCACATGTCCCTGGCGAATACCCACGCGGCACCCCTGCCCAGACACCAAGCGCCGCCTAGTCATGTCAATAACCGCGAAAGGGGGGATTATGGTAGACAGCCATGCAAGGAGACTGGTCAAGCTCTATCAAGAGCCTTTGGTTTTTCTTGGGGGGGCCGACGCAGGAAGAGTGGATATACCTTAGGCGTCGTTGTTTCTGGATGATGCATGTATCGTCCTCCACCTTCGCTTTTTCTTTTTGTACCTCATCGTTCAGCGTGTTTTGTTGTTTCATGTTTCAGTCGATTCCCCCCCCCCCCTTCCCTTTTTTCTCCTCCCCTTCTTCCTCCTTGTTAGTTGTTGGTGAGGGCTGTCTCTTGTGATACCCTCGGAGCACCTTTTTGCGGGACGTGCATTTCTGGGATACCGGGTCGTACACAGGGTGAAACTTCAGATATACCGAGCTTTTATTCATGCTGCGTGAATCAAGAAAAGTCGTTCACCATCAAAATTGTAACATTGTATCCTCTTCGTCTTGATTTTCACACCGTGTGGGAAAACATCCGAATGGAGTGTATGACATGATCTAATATTCCACCAAAACCGAGCACATTCTCCGTTCCTCTGACAAGTCCAGTTCATCCGCCACCAATAGTTCTTCCGTTGTTGAATATTTCCCGTCGACGCTATCAAATCGTGATGCTGGCCGGACTTGAACACATAATCTCATGTTACTTGTGGTCTTAGTTGATAAGATACCTTTCTCCTTTCGCGAGCTGACATGCACATGTCCATGTTGCAGAAAGCCCGAGTTTATCACCAATCGGCCATATTGACAAAGGCGCCAATGTGCCCAGACAGAGAGACTGGCTCTCTCGCATCAGTAGAGCCCTGTATGCTTGTCCACGGTAAAGCGGAGCCAGCCTCTTTGGGCGGGTGAAGTGAATAGCTCAACAGGACTTTGACTGAGACACGAGACACCTTTGAGGCAAGGCGTACCAGATTGCCTGGGACGATTGGCGGTTTTCCGCCGTATCAAATGCATATACTAGTGCCAGTGCTAGTCTTCCATACAGTGTATGCAAGAGGGTCGGTTCACCGTATAGTATGTATGTGTGCCTGGGTCAGGCATCCCCTTTTCCATTCACCCAGGCAGCGGTGGTATCCAATGACCACGACGCCAGAGACCACCCCATAATCCCCGTTAGTCGCCGACCAGATGTCAACCGATTCATATTGGAAGGTGCTCGTGCCCCAATGGTCATGAATCAATTTACTGACACGTTTATTTCTTTTTGCTTGTGTCGAATATTGGGCGACGACGGTTCGATTACAGCACAGGGGAGGGCAACACACCCTTTTCCTTCCTACAAGCCAGGCTATCCGATTTTCCTTCTTTCTCAGCCGGGCAATTTTCTTCAAGCGGTAATTCAATGTGGCAGAAGAAGCGTACCCTTTCCTCATTGGCTGTTCTCCTTTCACTGCTCCCGTCTAGAATTGTTCAATGTGGTTTCCTATACGACAATCAGGTCTTGTCACCACAAACGTTTGTTCATTCAACACCCTAGCAGCATGTCATTCTATCGTGTTTCGCCTATCAGGGGAGCAGGGCATCCACTTGTGACTCAGAGTGCCGTCTAATCAATCAAGCAGAGTCAAATCACTTCACGTAACCACCAGAAAGCTCGAGGTTCACATACACATGAGAATATAAATAGTTATGAGAAAATTAGACAAAAGAAATGTTGGATACTACGAAATATTAAAACCAGCGTACTTTCTCGTCGCGTATTATCATGCACACACTAAACCATCTCTCTGCCTAGCGTATACCCTGCGCCCACCCTCTCCTGCCTCATGTCTCCCCATCATGTACGTCAGAAATCATGACGTTATCGCCACACAGCCCAGTGAACCCCATTGGAAAGGCAAATGTTTCCGGAGGACAGCTCCAATCCCGAGGAACTCGGCTTGCATTGGCCGATAACTGGGTACTTCGTCTCAGGAGACACATGTCCCCAGACCTCAGCGAGAGTACAACACGAAGATCCATGCGGTTGGCTGACCACAGCAGCGCCGGCTCCGGCTTCACCCAAGCGGAAGGCGCCCGGGGTTGTTGGCCCCCGGATCGATATAGTGAGTAGCTGTCAGACAAAATTGCCCAAACACCAACCACCATAGGCGTGGGATCCACTACTACGACCGGATGCGGATGTGCCAGGGGAGGCTGGCCAGAGCCAATACCAGCCAAATACGACGAGCTCCCGAGATCGCCGGGGCGGTGTGGTGTGCGATCTTCCCACAGACATCTTCCTCGGGGCTGGGCTTGGCGCAATGCCTGATCGCAGGGCTTGGCGGAGAATGTTCACGAAAGTAAAGGTCTGGCAGGTCGCTCGAGCAGCGAGCGTTGAACTTCTGGTATGAGGATCCTAAGTCCGGTATCTATTTCAGATGTAAGGGGAATTTAGTTACTGCGCACTGCGTATCTCCTGTTGCCTTATATTCACAGCTCCATGCTAACTTGTAGCACTCGATATCCGAAAGGCCTTATACACGAACAAACCATGAAGGAGAAAGAAAAGGCAAACGCCAAAAAGGCCATATAGACTGGCGTCTTGCTCTTGTAGTCGCGTTCAGCTCAGCTCAAATTAAGGCCTCTGTCCCACACTCTCCCAGTGCAATGCCTCGCAGATTGCTCTGCCAGTATCTCTTGAGTTGATATCCCGCGTCCGTCCTGTAATCCGGGGATTTCTCTCGCCGAATCCCGAATCGCGAGAGATTTCTGTCGACTTGGTCGATCCATCTGGATGGCTTTGGTGCACCCCCAGTGGAGTACGTTTCAAAATTTCCATTGAGTGAGCTATCAGACAACTAAGTGACTTTGATCCGATTTGCACCCTACCAGACATTCAGTGATACGATCGTCCGCTCCTGCTGCGGGAACCGATGCAACTGATACTGTCGCTGGGAGCGATACTATCATTGTCCCAGTCCGCGTGGCTTTCAGGCAGGGGAATGTCCCTAGCTGAAACCATGCTGCCGAGGCGGCTTTCGGGAAGCGGGACCATCCGTGCCGTAGTATAGCTGTTAGCCCTGGACATGGTCGGCGCCATTTTTACCGTTGACGCAGAATGGGCCGTCGAATGACGGCTAGGGACCACGGAGGGTCCCTTGGTAGGTGCTTTGGAAGGCGCACGAGATCGGATAGGGACGTCCCCGTACATTATTGATTGCGGGGCGTCGTAGACAACGGATTGCCTAGCGGGCCTGATGGTGCTCTCTGACCTGTCTGATCGCTCCGACTTCTTGCTCCGGGATGAGACGTATGTTTCTGCCTCTGGGTCCCTCTTGCTTCTCGACGAGATGTACGTCTCCACCTCTGGTTCGTGATGCCTGATAGACCGCGGGACGGAATGCTTCGAAGGCGCACGGCTCCAGTGGTCCGCCTCGGGAAGGAGATTTGACGAATGACGCGATCCTGCGTGGCTGCGGTGTTCCACATCCATAAGCATCTTTGGGGCAGTCGTGTACTTCGATCCAGCATTACTCCTGTACTCGGCATCTGCGATCATCATGGGCCGCCGCATGGACCCGGTCTCGCTCCGGGTGCGGGTCCTGCCGCTGGTGCTGTGACGAGTAGAGTGGCGGCTCGAGCGATCGTCCAGCTCCTCAACCTCTCTGCTGCGGATTGGACCTTGCGAGTATTTGGCGACATAGCTCGGCGGTGGGTAGTGGCGGCTTCTGACGGGTGGCAGTTGGTCCGGGTAGTAGATCTTCTCTACCGTCCGCTCGACGTACTTTGGCTTGTGGTCCGGATACGGATCCGGGAAGGTGGAGCGACGCTGGAAGGCCGGGGCCTCGAACTCCTGTCGAGGAGCACGCTCGCGTTCCTTCTTCATCCCCATGTAAGTCAGGGCACCGCCAATGGCAGCGCCGGCAGCAACGGCACCTAGGACCGTTCCGACAACAGCACCAGTGCTGATGCCGTTCGAGTTCTCGCGCGGCGAGGACGAGGTCTCGATGGTAGAGGTCGTGACGCTCCTCCGCAGGAGACGGGGCGGTTCCTCTTCCGGACCTCCTGCGCGTCGAGCAACTGCGGTCGCGGACCCACCGACGGCTCCGGAGCCGGCAACAGACTTGGAAGGGCTCGAGGATGCGACGTCTAGGTTCCAGTCCAAAATGCGCCCAACTTGGTCCGTAGTGGATTGCGTACGACGAATGGTGGATTCCCCGGGGCGTGATGGATAGTCGTTGGGAGGAACGTAGACGACTTCCATTATATTCCCGTCGAGGTCCTGTATCCGTGCTCGGTTGTCGCCACTAAACGACGGTTCGGCGTCAGAGTGGCGGTGGGCACTGTCCCCAGCTGCGCCGATCAGTGGCAGATCGGGGTACGCCCGCAAGGCCGCCGCGTGAAAGTCTCTAACGGCCTCGGGCGAGCCTGCCGACAGCACGAGGCGCGAATGTTTTAGCGGTCCGGCACGTTCGCTTACGCTCCTGACCTCGAAGGTTGGGGTGGTGGCGCCGTCAGGGTCGGTGGGAGAGGCTGCGCCGTAGACAATCGAGCCGGGGTTGGCACTTATATACCGAAGGCCCAAGGGATGTGTGACGGCCGAGTAGAAAGATGCAGACGCGGGCAGGTAAGACACTTCGACGTACGGCAGCATAGGTCAGAGTTCCCCGGAGCCAGAGGGGAAAACGAAGGCAAGCAATGAGAGACGAGAAGTCAAACGTAAGCGCCCGACAGGAACAAGCTCCAACTAGTGCTAAGGTGTATGTGTGACAAGTCGTGCAGGTAGGCAACCTTGCGAGGCAGATACAGACACCGACCGGATGGACGATGCAAGGAGGCGCGGGAGGTGGTACTTTAAAGGGCTGTACAGAACGGGCACCTGGACTGGGGCCGGGGCGAAACACGACGGTGAAGGACAAAAGGTGATGCAAATGCCAGTCGGGATGAGGGCACAGTCGGACCTCGTGACGGAGCTGGCCCACGAAAGAAAGATGAGCTGTTTGCGGTTGGATGTGTTGTCTGTTGGATGCCAGCACTATACGGCAACTGTAGCTGTGGCGCCCAATGTCTCCTAATATAACCAGACCGCCATCAAATGGGCAGGTAGCCTCTGGATGGAGCGACACCGCCGAAAACAGCTGCGGCTTGGGACTTAGGTACTAATGCAGCGTCGTGGTGCTATTAGAGAGAGGACTCCGCCGGCGCTCTCGTGGTTCGCTTGATCCAGGGGACTGTCTCCGCATAAAGAGGGCGATCGGGTCGTCCAGGCATCTTGACCGAAAGTGAAGGCCTCGTGCGTGCCACTCAGCGCGCAGAGGTGCGGGCTGCTGGAGAGGAGGATGGCCCAGTACAGATCCATTCGACTAGTTTCGAGGTACCTAGGTACCCAGGGCTGCCTGCCAGGTACCCTGGCAACCTGGCACCGTCGGCCGCCCACGATGGCTGGAGCTGGATGGACGACGGGTACACATCCGTGCTCCGTGCCTTTAGCGCCGGTCGAGCCAGTGGCTTGAGTGGGACGATGCTGGCTACGTACAACCTACCTAGGTACTGTGTCCAGGCCTGTTAACTAGGTGAGTTACTGTCCGGGTGTCCACGGCGCACGCGCAATATTCCCCTGGGCGGAGGACCCTGTTCGCCGCTGGCACCGCGGCCGGCGATAGGTGGTCGGCCACGTTGGCTCTGTGTCTGATCGGGGCCGCGGATTGCTGCATTCATCCTGACCTGCAGCTGGCTGAGAAATCATTCGCTGTAAAGCAGCCCCCTAGCTGTGCCATAGTAAAGCTGCTGCAGTGTCGCCTGCAGAACGTGCATTGTGTGGAGAACGGGCGGTTGGGCACCACTGGGTACCCTGCATTGCTGCAGACACACAAGCCGTCCCTCTCCGTCAAACATGATCCGTCAAATGCTTTCACGGCCATCTCCATCCCTCGCTGGGACGAGTCGAGTTCACGAGGGTCACACGCCCAAGGGCAAATCAAGTGTACAAACAAGGGGGGAGGTAAGAGTTGAGCCGACTACGCGTCGGATTCGTTGTCGTGCGTTGCATTCAATCAAGGGGCCATGTGATAACTTTGTCTGATTGATTCTTTGATTGATCGATCGTTTGACTGAGTCAAGTCTCCCGGTGTTGCCAAGAGACAGCTGTACGGCCACGCCCACGGCCGCTCGTCTTGCCATCACACCATGTCCACAATCCCATTTAGTGGTGACTGCAGGTTGGGCACGCAACGGCCGGCCTGGACGGTGCAGCCCGAGGCGCGGTGAGCCTCTGAGCATAGGCCAAATGCAACCGCACACATCCTTCGATATCCGTCATCTGGATGGTTGCTGCTGTTGCAGGACCGGGGGGTTTTGGGGGGGTTCTCGGACCCCACGCCCCTCCTCAGCCCGACCTGGCCGCCCCGTCGTGTCATCCCCAGGCCAAGATAACAGCATTCATGTACCAGGAGAGACACAGCGGGAGTCCTTGAATGTGACGCATCGTGGGTCTCTGAGTGAGCATCCGCCATAGCAGTGAGATGCTCTGCAGTTAGTCTCGTCAAGCAAACTACCTTTGGGCCAAGTGTTTTCGAGACTGGCTCCTGAACGGACTGCTTGCCGCTCTAGTCCATGGAGACAGGGTTAGTAGTACATATTGTGGTAAGGAAACTGAAGAAGAGAAAATGTGTGCCAAGTTGAAGTGGCTCACGAAGACGGTGGAAACGTCTTGGATCCCATGTTGAACGCCTGATGTTTTGGTTGTAAAAACAGAGACTGAACAAGAACCGAAGACCCAAGCTCTGGAGCGCCCATTTCTCAGCTGACATGTTGTATGACAGCCTCAAGCAGAGACGGCTCCGCAATTGTTCATACCTGACACGTTCGCACTGCTAACCCTTCTCGGCCCCCCGACCTGCCGTGGCCAGGGGGACGCCACAATTCTGGCTGGCACTCGCCCACGCCGGTCCATCACCCGGGGTAGGCTACAAGACATCCCAGACATCCTCGGCGGCGTGGCAAAACTTGCTGCAGGCCACGCTGGCCGAGAGGCTGTAGTTGCTGATGGAGATCTTTTCGTCCACAAACTCGTCGGCAAAGTTATCTGTGCCCTTGGCCATGGCTCCAACAAATACGCACACACTCTCCTTCGGAGCCAGCCCTTCGACCCAGTCTCGCACACGCACCAATGGGGCGTCAAAGCTCAAGGTGACCTTGCGGCAGTTGGGAGGCAGGTGATCGGAGATGGGATTCTGGATCACCCTCAACAGCTTCTCCTGCGAAGTCGTCGAGCGAATAGAGAGGCGGTGGAGGAGCTGCACCATCAGACCAGCGAACCGCTTGAACGTCCGGGGAATTCGGACGGTTGGCGAAACCTCAATCAGAACGCCCTTGGCCGTGTGGATGTAGATCTGCAGCTTGCCGGCCTTGTTGATGGGCGAGTCAAGCAGGGTGAGGAGGCACTAGGGTTAGTCCGGTCAGCATGTTGAATGCCGTGCCATGGAGGGGGGAGGAGTTGTCCAACCTGGTGGGTGATATCGGGGCGGGCATCACTGATGTCCCGGTTCATCTTCCTCATGACGCCGATGTGCTCGTCGCTGTTGAGGAGCGAGTACTTGTCGTCGCGCTGCATTCCCATACGGCCACCACCGGCGTGAGAGGCTTTGTAGGTTTCGAGACTGGCATTGGAGAGGACGACAATGAGTCGTTGTGAGTCCTTGTCATTGGAGGGGATAGGTAGGTTCTGCTCGGCAACCAGCTGGGGCAATGCCGGTGGGGGGAGAGATTGCGTGCCTGTCAAGGGGTCTATCGTGTCAGTCGCGGTTGAAGTGCCATGTCTGACTTCGAAAGCGGGATCTGTCTCGAGGGAAGGAGGGGGGAAGCAAAACACCAGGCGATGCTGTGAAGGCTGAGGGGCGTCGGCGGGAGGCAGCCCTGGAGGCGGTGTTGGCCCTACCACTGGCATCGCCAACCCCAAGCTCGCGAACTAGGCGATGGAACTGCATCTGAGCCGAGCTCTAGGCAGACGGACGGCGCCATGACGAGACTCGCACGCACCGCCGGCCGTCGCCCCGGAATTGTTTCGAGGGAACAAGCGGGATTTGCTTTTGGTGAACCAAAATCCTCCCGAGCACACGTGATGGTCCGACGATATCAACTTGGAATACGCCCACAACGCTTCCTCACGTGGCCGTGGGCTGCCGCCCCAGAGCCTTACCAACAACGGTTCCAGAAGACCAATGCTCCTGAAACGAGGACAAGGGGAGACTGAAGGCTGAAAGTGAAAGGACTAAAAGCACTGCGCATTGGAGCTGTCACTGGAGACAAGTGGCATTCCGAGACTTACGGGGTCGCTTTCCGGCACGGTGAGGAGGGGACGACATGGTCAACCTTGGAGAGAGGGAATGCGTTCGGAGGCAGGACAGGCTCGGGGGGACCAATTGAAAGCTAGTCGGTATGAAGCTTGCCAGCGAGCAGTATGTCTCTCAACTTATTGACAAATCATGGGTTTGCAAAGGGATAAGAAGATAGATAGGAGGTAGGGAACAGGAACGACGGGCACAAACTCTGGGTGGGTGGCTCGCGAGAGAAGTTTTGATACTGACCCCACCCCACCTCCAGACGAGTACGGGCAAGTCTAGTCTAAACTTCGAGATTTTCCATCCGACTCGGCTCACCTGGGCTCACCTGGGGACCGGGGACGGGGGTTGGGGGTTGGGAGGGGGCACCCCTGAACTGCGCTAAAAACGATAAACATACTCTAATTCTTTTCGGCCCACGTGCCCTTAAAAACAAGGAGTTACCTAGGTGGTGGTAAACAGCGTTGGATACTATGTATATGCATGTAACTCAAGTACATACTCCGTTGTAGTATTTTAGTAGTTGCAACTCCCGTCGTCCCAGTCTCTTCCCTCCATCACGTAACTACAAGATAACCAACTCAATGAAGTACCCAATTCAAGTGAGGAACATAGGTCGTTGCTCTACAAGCTGCGTTAAAAAATAACAAAAAATAAATCTCCCCACTCTCTTCACTACTGAAGTGATCTCGCAGCCAGCGGCCCTACTGCTCGCATTCCCTGCGGAAACAGCTGCCAGACCACGAATCCATTGATGCAAGTTGTGCGTGCCCCGTGCTTGATGAGTTAGGCCAACGGCCCATACATAGTAGACGCGGGGGACAGTGCCGACGTCTTTACTCGGAGCCCGTACTCGGCTGTTGTAGGATTCGGAGGTTTCATGCAGGATGGGCCCAAGTTGGCCTTCCTCATTGGTCTCCTAAATAGTTCATGGGTGGAAACTCATGGAAACAGTCCTCATGTCACCGGCCTGCATTGAGAACTCGGGGCAGGGCAAAAGCCGAAAAAGAGCATGACACATCCTGCTCACTCCACACGGGTCTTGAGAATGTGCAAGACCGTGGCATCGGAAACAGACGTACCCAGGTTGGGGACCGAGCGACATTGACCGCACGTCCGATCAATACATGCCGAACTACAGTAGAAACTCAGCCCCAGCCCCACCTCCTTACTTTACATGACAGCACGCACTCGTCCCAGGGATACAGCCCTATAACCAAAGACAGCTCCGATGTCATCCCATGTCCTTCCAGAACCGCCAGCTCGTCGGTGTGGCACGCACCGACTGGAGGTCTTGGCATCCGAGACATCGGCCGTGGCGATCACCGTTTCACGAGATGACCGACGGAGGAGACCAAAAAATCCCGATGGCATAATCTAGGCAACGTGTGCTCCAACCCCGCCTGATTTGAGATGAAGCTGATCACGTTCAGATGCTATCTTTGTAGCTGTAAGATCCATCAGACGTGTTACTTGGTTTGCCTCAGGCTTGGCACCTCTCCCGCCCCCCCCCC